TGAATGCCAGTCATAATTGTACTGGGGACTTAAAACAAAACATGCTCATATATTTGTATGTGTTGTGTTTTACTCTTAAAAATTGACATATCTGACTCGGTTGTCCTTGATGAAAGCATGGGGGATGTCTATGAGAAGGAGACCAGTTTAGAGCTACACAATCCAGTTCAAAATGAAGAGGAAGAACAGCAACAGGGTCAGTTTTCAGGAGACCTGCAGAGCACCTTAGAGGAAAGAGACCCTGTCAGTCCTCAAAGGAAACAGGTGTTGGTAGTAGGTGACTCCCTCCTGACAGGAACAGAAGTGGTGATTTGCAAACCTGACAGAATGTCTTGAGAAGCAAGCTGCCTCCCTGGAGAAAAAATCCAGTCAAGAGTACAAAGTCTAACAAATTCCTCACTTGCCTTGCAGACAATTTTATTGTCTAGAAGGTAGAAGAGACAACAAGGAGATCAGCTATTCTGGATCTGATCCTAATCAACACTGGGGATCTAGTCAATGGAGTGGAAGAGGTGAAATCTTTAGGTGGAAGTGACCATGTGCTCCTGAAGTTTGTGATACAAAGGAAAGGGGAAACTATGAGAAGTCAACATGCATTCTAGACTTTAGGCGAGCCGACATCAGGAAATTTAAGGAAACACTGAGCGTGATTCCATAGACAGGAATATTAAAAGGGAAGCGAGTTAATGATGGATGCGAGTTTCTTAAAAATGAGATACTAAAGGCATAATTGCAAACAGTGCCAATAAGGAAAAAAATACAGAAGTGTAAAGATGTTCAAAGAACTTTTAACTGTGCTAAGATTTAAAAGAGGCATGCACAAGAAATGGAAAAGGGGGGGGGGGAATCACCAAAGAGGAATTCAAACGAATAACCAACATATGTAGGGAAAAGGTTCATAAGGCTAAAGCACAAAATGGGTTCAGGATTGCCAGAAAGAGTAAAAACAATAAAAGGAGGATATTTGGTTATGTCAGTAGAAAAAGAAAGAAAAAGGAAACAGTAGGACCTCTGCGTGGAGAGGATGGTGGAATGCTGACAGGGAAAAAGGCAGAACTACTTAACACCTTTTTTGCCTCAGTATTCTCACAAACAGAAATCAGTTTTCAACCTGAGCAATATGGAGTGGACGAAGAAATAGGGGAAATGCAACCCAAAGTAGGTAAAGAGGTAGTCCAGGAATGCCTGGTCACTCTAATCCAATTCAAGTCTCCAGGGCCAGATGAACTACATCCAAGAGTATCGAAGGAACTAGCAGAAGTGATTTCAGAATTACTGACAATCTTTGAGAATTTTTGGATAACAGGAGAAATCCCAGCAAATGTTGTCCCTATTTTCAAAAAGGAAAAAAAAGGAAGACCCAAAGAATTACTGTGTAGTCAGCCTGACATCAATGTCACTTATTATAAAGGAAGTCCCATATTTGAGGGCCACAAAACCTGTTACAGAGAAATAAATGGACAGATTAATTGAAGTCAATAATTTCATTTGAAATATAGGTAGAATACAAACTTCTAATAACTACATCCTGATTGTTAATCTTGCCTGTATGGATTTCAACTATCCCTCACTGAAAACCTGGCAGCATTAATTGGGTCAGAATAACCTTCATTAGTTCATACTAACAAAGAAGATCACACCCACAAAATAAAATGAACACTTTAAAGAACCTACCAGGTATCTTCTTCCTCAAGGACTAAGTTGGCTAAATATTTGGAACTTGACTTACAGCAGATACTTCTTTCTCTAGAACTGTAATTTCATTTCCCTCAAAATATCTGAAAACGTTTTTAAAGATGTAAATCTATTATAGTCACAAACTGCTGTGGAACAAATCTACTTTATCAACTTTTTTCAGCACAATTGAAAGAGTGTGCGTGTAAGTGTGTATATACAAATGTGGTAGGAGCAGTGTTAGAATTCCCCCAAACAGAAGAGGGCTACAATTCCATATACTCCTAAAGGGGAAAAGTACGATTAAATTCAGTATGACTTTCTCCTGGGCAGATTTTCATAGGATTACACTAACTCTGTGAAGTCCTCAAAGCACTGGCTCACTGTCAGACGGAATGGGGACATGAGGAAGGAGTGTTTGGATTCAGTCCATGCCTACTTTCTTCCTGCCTAATGAAAACCTGGTGCTGTGAGGGGCTCCTCTCAGAAGCTTCATACAGAGCTGATCTGATACTTGAAGAGAAAAAGAGGAACGGGAATAAAAGCAGGCAACTATTCTGAACTGTTCTTCTGCTTCTTTGGCTTTCTGGACTCCCACACATTTAACAAAGCCTAGGCCTGTACATAACTTATAAAAGTTTTACTCTAGGAAAGAAATATTTTTGCTTACCCAGCTTTTAACAAAAACAAAATGTTTTTGAGATACAAATTAAAAGGCAGACACGAAAATATTTTTTTCAATAGTGCTGTGTTTTATAAACACATTTATATAAAAAGGGAAAGCTTCTCTTAAAGAAAATGTAAAATTTACACATGTTGGTTTAATAATTTCCTAAAATGCATAAAACTGTGATACACTGTGCAATATTAAAAAGCAAAGCAAAATACCATGACAGATCCCTGAAAGGACTTTTACAAACAGGAAAAAGGATTAAGAAGGATAAGAAGAGGAAGGGAAAACTAACAATTCAGTTTGTTCATAGCTACCACCATAAATGTGCATTATAAGCAAGTAGTCTCTCCCTCTAGGAAATAAAGAAGAATCACTAGTATATGTTTTGACTTCTCTAAAATCAGATTAGCTGATAACACTGGCTTAGCTAGAAGCAATGCTAAGATTCACATCATCACTTTCACAGAAGTTGCAAATGTACTCTTTCCTTCCTAGAACAAGGTATGAAATGTATGCAGATTTTCAAGAAAGGTATGAAAGGGAGGAAGCTGCAGAAACTCCACCTGGCATTCCTAAGTAATAATGATTTCTTGCAGCTCAAGAGACATAAAGCTAATTCACACTTGCAGTTTACCAGTCCACTAATCCACCTTCAGATGAAGTGTGAACCCAGCTGCTCAGGAGTAATTGTCCCCTAATCCTTAGCAATTTACACTTCATTAATGAAGTGAGAGTTAACCCCTTGCATTAGATCCCATTCCACTTTTGGTACTCCCTCTTCTTATACTATTGAGATGGAGCCACTTCAGTCTGTATTATTATATCTTTGGTCAGAAGAAACACAACATATCTTACAGTGCTCCTACGATCCCTGTGGTGTCCAACAGTGTCCAACAGTCAACACCAATATAATCTAAATGGTCAGGTTTAGTTCTTAGGGACAAGTGGTATATTTCTTGATAAGGTGTTAAACAAATCTTATTTCTCTCAAATAAACTGAGCTAATTCTCATATAATATATCTTTAGCAAATGAAAAGAGGTGCTGGGCTCTGTTCTGTTCCCAGAGTAAAAATCTCAAGATAGCAGTACTAAGATTAGCTTTTGTATGTCAAAGGTGAATTTGGGTAAATCAGGGAACATTCTACTTTGGAAGCAATTTTTTACCCGATTCAAAAGGACCACAAATTTGATTTCAGTTATAGAGTGAATATGTAGCTGCAGATATGAAGATGAGACTAAAATATACTTTATATATTCAGCAAGGTAAATTCCAAAATATTTATTAACACAGATTGTTTGTAGTTGGATCAATCATAAGAATCCTTTTCTCATCTTCTTTTTCTGTTTAAGTTTACCATCTAACTGCATAATGAACTGATATTGAATACTTTGGAAGGGGTGCATCTTGAAATAAATGTATATGACTATCTAAGAGTTAAAGAATATATTTTACAATATTTTAAATATCTGTTTGAGCTGCAAGCATATGTTTTGTTAAGAGAAAAAGCAAGTAATGTATGTCTCTCGATCTTGCCCTATATAAGAGTGCAAAATGAGGCTTCATTATGTCAAGACTGAGGGGGCTAATGGTACATGGCTAATGGTAGGTCTTTTTTCTGCCTAACACTCCCATCTCTAAGCAGGATCCAACAAAGTATGGAATAACAGAAAAGAGAAGGGGTTTTCCTTCACAGAAGGCACACAAGATGTATTACAGAAATCGGAACATTTCATTACTGCAGGATAGTGGGATTTCAGTTGGTAATAATTGGGGAAGATAAGCCAGAGTGATACTTCTGGGGTTAAAAAGAATCTAGGAGATCGTTTAGCTCCATACTCTCATCACAGTGCAGAATCTCCAATGTGGGATGGAAATAAACCATTCTTGGCTGTTGGCTACATGCTATATAGTTAAAAACCTTCAGCAAAGCACAATTGAGCTTCTTCTGAGACAGTCTGTTCCACTTCCGAAAAAAATCTCTTAATATGAGGCAATTTCTTCAAATGTCCATCTGAAATCTGTTTCCTTGAAATTTTGTACCTGTAGCTCTAATAAGGCCCCCCACAGCAATAAGTCTGCCCCATCTTCCATATGACAGATATTGGAAGAAAGCTTTCATCTGTTCTTAACCTTTTTTCCTCCAGTCTGTCAGCTGACAAATGAAATTGATTTGAAGGTGAATGGAAGGAGAAATCAACTGGTTTGCCTTTTGTAAAATGAATATTATTTTACAGTTGCAAATAAGAGATTAAAGAAGTGATTCCATACTTAAAGGCTCAGCTCCCACCTTGGTGATTCATTTTATACATTAGATGAATAATGTTTCTGTGTAGTTGAAGCATGCCTTTGGGGATGCTTACAAGCCAGGCAGGAGAAACATGAAGTTCTCCTATTGCCTTTTAACATCTAGTATTCAAATAAAGAGAGATGGTGCAGAGGCATATATGAGAAGATACATATACTCTTAACTATTGGAATGGAATTCAGAGTATGTCTTATATGAAGCATAAACACGCAGCCAGAAAAGGAACAGAAAACTTTAATAACAGCTTTAAAGTATCATGGAGGAAAACTAATTCCTTTAGTGGTGAAAAGACATTAATAATCATATTTCAAAAGAATGGCTGATGTCAAAACTAGTGTTTCCATACCTGCAGAGACTCGTGGGCAGTCTGGTAACATGGATTCTACTGAAGTATCCAAAGGTTCTGAACTTGACACCCAATTACAACAGTTCTGTTATTGAAGAAAAACAAATCTGAATAAAAAACATGCACAATTTATGTTGTCATAGTAGAAAGACTCATCTGTAGGCAATGGCATGCGTAAGTATGAGCTCATACAAAAGTAAACAGCACCCATCAGCATCACTGCATTTATATATGAACTCTATCCCTGATGTGTAGCATAGATGGAAATTTAATTGTGAAATTGTCATAATGTTAATTTGTTGGTCTGTGTTTAATTATCTGAATGTCCTTGCTGCTTGTGTAGATGTAAATTGGGCTTACCTTTTGACTTATGTTATTTTGTATTGTCAAATGGCATTGAATGTTTGCCTCCCCAGAGGGCGAGCGGCGGAAAAACAGGAACTACCGGGAGTGTCCACCCTGCGGGGTGGCTGGGCGGAGTTACCGCCAAAACTTTGAAACTTTTAAACTTGGGAAGTTTTCCGTTGGGGCCTGCGCAGGCACAGAACTCCATATGTGTGGATTCACGGAGACCACGAAGAAAAAATAAAGTTTTCATTCATTCATTCATGGTGATTGGAAAGATAACTTCCCTGCAAAACATGTCAGGTTTTTCATCTATTTGGAGAAATGAGGATGATGAGAAGAAGACTCTATGGATGCTTGGTACATAGTTACTGGGCTTCAAGTCAATGTTTTGATGCTGAGACTGAAACAATGATACTAGTTCCTTCTGTAAATCCTAATTAGGTACTTACTTATTCTTTCATATGACAAAAATAATAATTGAAGTAGATTATTTATTTATTTATATCCCATTTTTCTCTTATGAGTGAGGCTCAAAGTGGCATGCAAGGCTAAAACAGCAAAGATAAACATCCAGCAGAAACATCATGACCCAAGTAAGTAGATTGCACACAGTACCTCCCATATATAAACAAAGTAATAAATTATTATATATATCATTGAAAAATTCCCCAAACCTCCAGACACTGAGGTTAGATTATCATAGTGTTATGTCCCAACACTTTCTTGAAATGGATGTAGCGCACAAAATATATCTAGCAAGTACAAGAGATTACAAAAAATTGCAGGTTTTGGATTAAATTGACACAACACATACTCTAAAACATTTTCCTTATGAATTAGTGCAAACTAGTAGTATACATTAATTGCAGTTTTCTAGGAGTGATGGTTCAATATATATCGTATATACCCATGTATAAGTAAAAGGCAAGTTTGCGGAACAAAATTATGGATTTTGATATAACTCATTGATAAATTGAGCGTCATTCGGTGGAGAAGGGAAAGCACCAATGCCACCGATACCACCCCTACATAACACCACCCACCATTTCCTTCTTTTAGGTTCTTCTGGGATAGACTGAGTTCTTGCCTTTTGACATTCTCCTTAGAGAAGGGAATGGTTCCTTTTAAAATAAGAGTTAAGGCATTTACTCACATGGATCCATTGGTAAGTCAACCCAGGTTTTTTGGGATGCTTTTTTTGATAAAAAAAATTCTATACATGATTATATAGGACAGTTAGGAGAATGGTTGCAAAGCTGCAGATAAAGAAAAATACAAGTTTTTATCCTGATATATTTTAAAGGCGTAGCAGTAGCATCCTATCTGTAAGCAAAATGGTTATTTTTTTTACTGTCCAACAATCTAGAGCTTAATCATAGAATCATAGAGTTGGAAGAGATCTCATGGGCTATCCAGTCCAACCCCCTGCCAAGAAGCAGGAATACTGCATTCAAAGCACCCCGACAGATGGCCATCCAGCCTCTGTTTCAAAGCTTCCAAAGAAGGAGCCTCCACCACACTCCAGGGCAGGGAGTTCCACTGCTGAACGGCTCTCACAGTCAGGAAGTTCTTCTTAATGTTCAAATGGAATCTGCTTTCTTGTAGTTTGAAGCCATTGTTCCGCGTCCTAATCTCCAAGGAAGCAGAAAACAAGCTTGCTCCCTCCTCCCTGTGGCTTCCTCTCACATATTTATACATGGCTATCATGTCTCCTCTCAGCCTTCTCTTCTTCAGGCTAAACATGCCCATTTCCTTAAGCCTAGGGCTTGCTCTCCAGACCCTTGATCATTTTAGTCGCTCCTCTGGACACATTCCAGCTTGTCAATATCTCTCTTGAATTGTGGTGCCCAGAATTGGACACAACATTCCAGGTGTGGTCTAACCAAAGCAGAATAGAGGGGTAGCATGACTTCCCTAGATCTAGACACTATGCTCCTATTGATGCAGGCCAAAATCCCATTGGCTTTTTTAGCTGCTGCATCACATTGTTGGCTCATGTTTAACTTCCTGTCCACAAGGACTCCAAGATCTTTTCCACACGTCATGCTGTCGAGCCAGGTGTCGTCCCCCATTCTGTGTCTTTACATTTCATTTTTTTTCTGCCTCAGTGGAGTATCTTGCATTCATCCCTGTTGAACTTCATTGTGTTAGTTTTGGCGAACCATCTCTCTAATCTGTCAAGATTCTAATTATGTCCAATATGCCTTTTTAAAAATTTAGAATGTATATATTAAGCATTTTAGGCATGATTCTAAATCTATGTTTTTTTACTAAATATTTCATTCATAAACATGTTGTAGAATAAAATAATGGATATAGCATTTTGTTAAAAAATGAAGATGAACTATTAAACTTCAAAAACTCGAGAATTATATTCAGAAATGGAGGGATCAGTGGAAAGAATCACCTTTTCAACACATACACTTCAAATACATGAATATAGAAAATGGGGACATTTGTTTTATTTCAATTATTTATCTTAAGATGTTTTAAATCAATTACTTTAAATTAATCATTTTACTTAAGAATGCTTTTACTCATTGTTTCTATATGGGAATGTTCTTCTGGCAAACAAGGATGAATTGTATATTTTTAAATGCTTGCTGCCCTAGTTGGACACCACAGAATCTTTCCTCACTGTGGAAAGATCCTTGACTGGTAGATCAAGTGTCTTATTGTAGTCCCTTAATTCATTCTGTCTGGAAGAAGATGTCAGCTGTGTTGCAGTGAGAAGAAAATTTCAAAGGCTCCAATCCCCACCAATAAAGGCGGAGGAATGGCTTTTGAATAGATTTGTCAAGGCAACCCTACTGTTCTGGGACCAGGGAGAGCAGGAAGAATATAAAGAAAGGGTTGCTGTATGAGATTAGAAAGTGAAGTTCACAAAGCATGGCAGATTTTTGTTAGAAACAGTAGATCAGTGAAACTATTGAACTGTGTGAAAAACCCATGAAAACATTTAGAAATGTAACTGGCTAGTGTGTTTGTTATCCTTTAACTAAGATGGTTGAGATGGCACTACGTCTACATTTCACAAAGTCTTTAAGATGCATATTTGCATTTCAGGTTTTAATTAACAGCTGAATGTGGAATTTTAACATAACAGTAAATTACAAAAGCAATAAAATCTGTATTAAGCATTATATTCATTTGATATAGATAAAATTAATATAACTACTGATAGAACATTGCATCAGAAATTTAGGTAATACAGAAGATTTAAACACGATTAACTACTTTTATACATAGCCTGCCTTATGCCTGTACAAACTACATATTCTCAAATGCAGGCGGAAGATATGAAAGTAGAAGATTTGTTTTATCAGTTATCATAGTGTTTTATACATTAAAACCGTGTCTTCTGCCAACTCTAAAATAATAAGTTATAACACAAGGTAGATATATTCAATGAAAAATTGATATTTAAACTACAGTATTAATTTTGTCACTGGAAACAATGAGCACTACACTTTCAAAGCAGCTGAGAACAGCTTTAAATCAATATGCTTTCTACCTGTAATCCTAAATTAGAGATGTAAAAATTTGCCCAGATAAGGTTTTTGAAACCAGAAAGTATCTGTCAAGGGAAAGAATTGGAATAACTGCACCATGCCTTCAACATGTGTGCTGTAGGAACCAGTCACCTTAAGTCTACAAATCTTTCACAAAATCAATAGAGAAACAACAATCCAGAGTTCACAGTGTAAAATACTGCACTTATATTTGAGTTCATAAACCATTATTCTATTTTAGAAAGTTCTAACTTCTAAAATTTCTAAAGTTTAAATTCACTAAAAAAAAAAACACTTATCAGACTCAAAATAGGATGGAGTTCCCTGACAAAATATTTGGGATGCAGTATTTTTCTGTATTTTAGGCATGGATTCTCAATCTACATCCTAGCAGTAACAGCCTATAATACCATAAGGTAAAGTCAATAAAGGCTTTTATTGTGCAATAACATTGCCTCAATCATGGCAGCCCAGATGTTTGTCAATCTGTATACCCCCATGTTTTTCCACTTCCCTTTCGAATATCTTTTAAAGAAAAAGATGGACTAGCTGCACTATATCTTTTAACTGAGTACAGTAGAAGATGTTTCTTCTAAATCACTAAATTTCACTTAAAAATCACTAAATCAACAGAAAAACAATGTCACTTCTGAAGGATAAGCTGAAGCAAGGAGCAAGAATTTGCACCTTCTTGCTTGAGGTAGAAGGATCATACAGTATTCCCTCACTTATCGTGGGTGATCCGTTCCGGGACTACCTGGGATAAGTGAAAATCTGCAAAGTAAGGATGCTCTGTCCTTCACATATTTCTAAAACTGTTTCAACACAGGACCATTCAAGTGGCTATGAACAACACAGTACAGTGTTTCCTTGCTATATCGCAGTTCGCTTATTGCGGACTTGCTGTTTCGCGGGTCCGCAATAAGCGGGGGGGGGGGGGAGCCGTGAGGGGGTGGGAGCCAGGTGCTAGACCTTACTCTGGGGCTTGTCTCTGCCCACCTTGCCCTCCGCAGCCTTGTTCTCTTCGCTGAGTCTGCTGCTCGCTGCCTTGGAGGCCATCAACTTGCCCAAGGGGCCTCTGAGGCAGTGAACAGCAGACCCGGTGAAGAAAACGAGGCCGCTGCTGAGTGGGGACACTCCGCCAACTCAGCAGCGGCCTCGCCCTCTTCACAGTCTTCTGTTCGCCGCCTCGGAGGCCCTTTGGGCTCAGTTGACGGCACTACAGGATGGGCTGAGGCCTGGTCTAAGGCTGGGTGAGAGGGTGGAGGCTGGTCCTTAATCTCTTTCTACTTCTTAAACTTTGCCAAAGCTAAGGAGCTGGATGTTTCTTTCTTTTTTCTTTTAATTTATGTACAGTATTTATATTCTACCCTTCTCACCCTGACGGGGACTCAGGGCGGATCACAATACACACATACACGGCAAACATTCAATGCCGTTTTGACATACAAGACATACAGACAGAGGCCATTCAGTAATTCTTCCACCGGGTACTGGAGGTTGCTCGATTTGGCCACAGGGGGAGCTGTTGCTTCGTCCATTATGATGCTGAGCCTTTTTGATTGTAGTATTTCTTCCTTGCTTCTCCAGCATTTTTATGGTGTCATAAACGGTTCTGGCCCAAGCTACCTATCCGAACGTATCTCTGCCTATCAGCCCGCCAGGACCCTAAGATCTTCTGGGGAGGCCCTGCTCTCTATCCCGCCTGCTTCACAGGTGCGGCTGGCGGGGACGAGAGACAGGGCCTTTTCTGTGGTGGCCCCTCGGCTGTGGAACGCCCTTCCCATGGAGGTAAGATCAGCCCCCTCGCTAATGGTGTTCCGAAGAAGATTAAAAACTTGGATGTTTGAACGGGCATTCGGTTAATCAGTGCAATGAATGTGATGATTACAGGAATGGAAATATGGACGACGAATTGGATCACGACTCTAGTTATGAGATGCATTGTGTTGTTTATTGTTGTGTTAATACTGTATATTATGCTCTTAGGGTTTTAAATTGTATATCGTTGATTGTTCTTATCCTTGTTGTAAACCGCGTTGAGTCGTCTGTTGGGCTGAGAAACTGCAGTATACAAGTAAAGTAAATAAATAAATAAATAAATAAATTAGCCTCCCCGCTTAAGCGGTCCCTAATTTTTCTACTCACAGCTCACAGCTGTTTTCGAACTGCTTAGGTTGACAGTGAGCTGGGCAATTTCTTTTTTTTAACAGCTATTTTTTTAACAGCTATTAACAGTCGGGCACTCAACCCCGACTCGGGCTTTGAACTTGCCACATTTTGGTCGGCAGTCATTTATTGTAGCTGATTAACCAGTTGTGCTACCAGCCCAGTTGTTGCCAAGTGTAACGGGAACATCTCTATATTGTTTTTTTGCAATTGTTGCCAAGTATAACAGGAACATCTCTATATTTTTACCCTTGGAAGACAGTTTAGGATCCTCCTTTGATGTTAGAACCAATAACACCAATTTATTATCTAAGCAGGCTTGAAAAGGAGTCACCTGCACTGAACACTCCCGCTCCTCAGCCAAAGACAGACATGAACAGGTACCACTGAAGCTATATGAAATAGATTACTTCTGGGCTGCAAGTACTACAGTTTGGAGGACCACTTCCTATGGAAGATCCTTAGGATGGGAAGTTCTGTTATACTTTGCTTGCTGTGCAAACATCTGGCAAACAAGAATGAGTCAACTGCATGGTCCTCACCCAGGTAGAGAAGAAGACAATATGCATGTTTGTCTGAATATGGAATCTTCATCCACAGCGTAGATAATTGCTGAAGAAAGTCTTCACGGCCATAAGCCCCCAGAGAGCAAAAAGACAAGCTAATGAACTAAAAAATCAAAAAGTTGAGACTTCCTAGCAACCCTATCACAATGGTGGTAGAAAAGAATCTGGATTTCAACAGTAGCATGTGGCTTCTATGTGTGGAGGTGAGGGGATGGGGTTACCAACAAAACACATAACCACAGAGGCACGGAATTACCCCATATGTGTGAGTCACAGAGACAACGAAGGAGGATTTTGTGTATACAAATAGCTTAGCATCTACTGCTTTTGTAACAGGCTTTACTACTTTGAGAGCACAGGAGACCACAAAAAGTTTCCTCAGTCCAAGTTTACACAGGAGTATAACCAGATATGGGAGTTATAAATATTTCTGAAGAGAGTAAACCATTCGAATTATTTCAATTTTGTCTATGAATACCCTTTCTTACACATCTTTGTGCAAAGCAACAACTTCCTCCCATTTTATGTAGCTAACAGTAAAAAAATGGCATATAAAAAAGTTGAACCTAGGTGGTTGGTGAATGAGAAAGACATACAATGGTCGAATGGGACTACGGTGAAGTGATGAATGTCTTTATGTACCCAAGATGGGCAGAGTGAAGACTGACCCACCTTCACCAAGCTAATTCAGAGATCTGATTGGCTAGACAGGCAGCATCACCACAGAAAACAAAACACAATGTGCCATCTTCCTTTACCACATTCAGGAGGTGGAAAAGGATGCAATTTAAACTCACTTCTCGCATCCATTCTCGAATAGTTTTGCCAGCTTCTTGATGCCACACATTGTGAACCGAGTCTGTCAATGCTACTGCAGTAACTTTATTTTTCACCTCTGTCTCACGTTGAATCATCTGTAGAAAATGAAAATTAAAAAAACTCATATTATTAAAAATATAAATTCACTAAACTGCTCAATGTTTTAGACTGACACACATTTAAAATTTTACAGTTTAAAGAAGCACAGTTAAAAGACAAAAAGAAAAAGAAAACCCATGGGATATTTCTCACAAACTTTTAGATTGTTCTTTCAAAATGTATTTCTGTCCTTAGGGAAACTTGTACTCATAGCTTTCCAAAAGACATGTCCTATAGCTATTAAGTTTTGGTTGATCATGTGTCAGAGATACAAAAGCATTCTGGCCTTATATAATTCATCTTTACGTTCAAGCCAGCGAGCTGCACAATGGATCTTGAACTTCTTTGCTTTCAGTGTAGATGCACCCTGAGTTAGATTCTCCAAGCTTGACAGTGAGGAGGTCTGCAGGGACAGTAAAGGTTTTGTGGCTTGGTGATGGAAAATAAATGGTTGTTGCCAGAAAGAACGAACTGATGAAGTGAGCAAAGCAAGGACAGGGAGAGAGCCAGGAATAATCTCTCAATTGTTTGAGTAAATACTAAATTAACTTTTAAAAAATGGAAAAACAGTAATCAATGCAGCCCTGAGATAGAGGGCACATTTATATTGTAGAATTAATGCAGTTTGACACCACTTAAATTACCATAGCTCAATGGAAAGGAACCATGGGGGTTGTAGTTTTATAAGACCTTTAGCTTTCTCTGCTAAAGAATGTTGGTGCCTTACTAAACTACAACTCCCATGATTCTATAGCATTGAGCTGCAGACATCAATGTGGTGTCAAACTTCATTACTTTGAAATGCCAATATTAAAATATTGTTTTAAAATTTATTTTGTTAGCCATGAACAATAGTTAGGCTAACAAATAGAAATAAATCATTGTAAGCTAAACAAATTGTGGTTTGCTATCATGTGTCAATTAGACTCCTAAACTGACTTAGAAACAAAAAAAGGGGACAACAAAGTGCAATATTAGATTGCTAGATAAAGAACAAAAGAATGAAAGTTTGTGAAAATAATCAGCAATAAAAGCAACAATATTTATAACACATCTTGAGAAAAATGGCACAGATCATCTTTGACACTATTCAATGTTTGCTGAATTTTCTGCAAAGGCTAACTCAGCATTTTAAAATTACTATATTTTGTTGGGTATGACTACACTTTAAACCCTTAATATCAATTTAGCGCTGCAGCTTAGCAAGATATAATAACCATCACTATAACGCAATATGAACATAGATATTTTCATGTCAGTGGGCCATTTATCTAAACTACAATCCTTATGATTAGATATAAAAAGTAAATTTACACAATCAGAGTGTATGGTTATATATTTACCATGATTACCTGAGTTTGGAAGCAGGTATCTGCTGGATTTTTTTTTTAAATCCTTTCTGTATGGCAACACATGGGTTATGTACTAACATTGTTTAATGCTTGTACTAGATAACTAGCCACTGATCCAGTGAGCACTATATGTCAGAATAAATTTGCCACCTTGTTTAAAATGTTGGTAGAAACCAAGGCTCTTTTTATCATTAGTTTGAGAAATGTCTTGCTGGATTCTGTTTCCAATATTCACCAAGCAAATGGGCTTTGGAAAATTACTAACACACAAAAAAGCACCAAATGATGCTGGGTAGTAAAATCCCAGAGAAATAAAATATCTATTACTGAAGCATGGAGAATTACAAAAATATTTCATCACAATCATGGAATGCCCATGCGACACAATTATAGTGCTCTGATTACACTTTAATTACTACAGCAACATCCTATGGAATCCTGGGACTTGCACTTTAGGGAGACACTATCCTCTCTGGTTGAGAATTTAAAATCCCTTTCCTTAAACTGAAAATCCCAGGATTTGCATCACATCCATGATCTTGAATCAACTGGACTGACCTCTTACCAATTGCAGAAGTCTTTCCATGGAACTGTATTTCATGAATATTGTGAATTGCATTGGGGGTCTACCTGTCTTGAAAGCTTTAGTTTTAGTAACTGCAGTGGGAAGGGAAGTTTGCTCTGTATTTGTTTTCTACCTTTCTCTATTTACCTGCAATTTTATCTATTGATGTTATGAGTCGCCCTAGGGCTGAGAACGGCGGTCTACAAATGCAGTAAATAAATAAATAAATAAATAATGTTGTTGGGTGACTTACAACCACTTCCCGGAAGAATCAAAGCTGAACAACATAATTTCACGAATGACAGCCAACTATTTCTCAGCTGAAATTGGACATAATTCAGCATTCACAATCTTCTCAAAGACCTTAGGAAATCTTTGTCTGTTTTCCAAGCATTCTTTCTTTTTTCGAATGTAACCATTTTCACATAATGGACATAAATCACATATATGCAGAATACACAGAAATATATATTTCTATCAAAGACCATAAGAAGATTCCAGAAAACCAAACAAAATCCAATCCATTTGGAAACCTGCCACAGGACTTAGCTCAGATAAGCCCCGATACCTTGAAAACAAAGAAAATGTTATAACAAGTCCAGGGTTGTTTGATCAAACTCTGGGGAAGCTTCCCAAAACAAATGAACTCAAACTTAGTCAGATAAATATTATATTCACTCTCAAAGCTCTTCTCTCAACTGATGTAACTGGTAAAAGCTCAGTTGTATTCCAGCTGCTAGCTATTAGCAAAAGGACTTAGGGAGAGCTGAGGGAACCAGTTCTCTTGCTAGTGGCATCTGCCACAGCAGTGTGTAACATAAATTATTACAGAGCTGTTCCCGCCTACTTGTAAATAGAACTACTAGTCCAAAGAAACAATGATATAATTGCTAAAAATAAATAAATAAAGGAGGATAGACTCTTCAACAAGGACAGCAGCTAAATTACAGTAGTGCACCGTTAAGAGAAGGAGCCAAACCCTTTCAATCAAAAGCTTGTTAAAAGGCCCTCAATGTAGCATGTCTTGCAATTGCATCCCTTAAGTCTGAATGCAGAAAGCCATGAAGAAAATCTCTTGTGGACATTTAAAAATATTATGTGAATCAAAATTCATGGTTTATCTGATGTTTAATACATAATTAGATATATCTTTCTAAGAGTGAAAGAGAAACTTTAGGTACAGGAAGTTCCAACTGTCCAAACTTTTTGTGTAAATATTATAAGAATTAATGTGGAAAAATGATCCTTTATTTGCTCTACCTCATGTTATTTATTTAATGGTCCATAATGAGATTTTTTTTTACGAGGGAAGCACATTACAGTATATTTATTTTCTGAGGTCTATAACAATGGAAGTGACTTGGATTGAACAACTTGAAAATGACTCACTCATATTCATAGTTTATAATCTTTATTGAACTCTCATACAGTACTGCTTTGGTTGGGTGGAAATTGTGCATTTAGCATCAATGGTTACAAATGCTCTGTTAATGAAATAGTAGAAACATGGAATTTTGTTGACTAATTAAGGATGTCCTAAATTCCAGTGGTCTATTACTTTGACTAAAAAGTGTACATATTTTGTTTCAGAAACTATTCAAGTTAATTAAGAGGCTTACACTATACAATTATAGAATCTGTGATGTGTTCATTCTACAGGATCCTAGTCTACAGCTTGGTCCCCTGGTAGCCTTAAAACTAAGCACCAAAGGACAAATCCCAGGGTTCCATAGAATTGAGTCATTGATAACTTAAGTGGTATCAATGTACTATAATTGTGTACTGTAGGTGAATCTCATCATTACAAGAATTATCAAAAAATAAATACAGATACAACACCTAAGCGCAAAACTTTACATTTTTATCAAATACAGGACAATTAAACAAGTCACATGAAAGGTCAAGAAAAATAAGAAAATTAACTAATTAGTCTGTATTCTAATTTTGCTTAATTACTTATATTTCACATAGACATAAATAAGGTTAGCTGAAAAATTGAGGTCTTGTGTCAATTGTTAATTCGGTCCCTCCATATGCATCCACCTGAGAAGAGTCAACATGTTGTTGCTATTGTTATTATTGTTATTTATACTCTTCCTTCCCCCCAGGATTAGGACTCAAAGTGGGTTGTAACTAAAAATAATTACAATACAATTAAATGAATATGTAGTAATAAACTATTTATACACTTTTGAAAATGAGTTTAAAAAGTACAATATTAAATAAAAAGTGCAATATTAAACAATACAACATCCCTTAAAAAAGCATTTCCCTATTAACAGAAGGCCCTCAAGTGGGGGGGCCAAGGCAGCCTTCCGAGGGAGATTTTCTAGAGCTCAAGAACAGTCAGTCTGAAGTCTCTATCGCACGTCTCCAACATCAGAACCTGGGATGGGATGGTGGTGGGACTGAAAGAGGGCCTGGGCCTCAGAGGGCTGGCAGGCATATACAGGGAAGAACAGTCTCTAAGATAGTCTGGAATTATGCTGTGTAGGGCTTTATGTGCTAAACCAGCACTCTAAATTTGCCTCAAAACAGAAAGGAAATCTGTAGAGTTGTTGCAGCAGGGGAATTATATGAATCTTGCAATCAACCCCAGGTAACATTCTGGCTGCAGCTCTTTATGCCAAGTGAAATTTCCAAACTCTCTTCAAAGGCAGGGCTGTGTAGAATGCATCACAGCAATCAAAATTATATGTAACTATGACATGTGTCACCATGTTCAGTTCAGGCTACTCTAGAAATAGGTACAGTTAGCACACTAGCTTTATGTACCCAACAGCACTTGTGCTCACTGCAGAAATCTTGGCCTCTAGATTCAAAGTGGACTTCATAGGTGTATACCCAAACCATGAAAAGTAGATTTAAAGAGAAAGAGTAAACCCATTATGCACAGGCTAGATACACTTAATATTTCTGAGGGCCCATTCAGACAAGTCCAGAAACTGGGACCTGTCTTGGTTTTTACCGGAGGCTTCCAAATGACATCTCCGGTAAAAACAAATTAATTTGGAACAAACCAAGGTTTCCCTTGTTTATTCTGAATTAATTTGATACCCCATTAGATCTGGGCCTTCCT